ATTTATATTAAGGAAAAAAAATTTGCATCAAAAAAGTGTAAGTATATTTCATCGTTCCCCACATAGGTGACTTGGGGTAATTTATGTCTGAAAGTATGGTGTAATATGAATGATTTAGAGAGGGATATTGATGACTGTTGGATGAGTCTATTTGAGACTATCAGATAGATTTATTGAAACATACTCTATTTTATGTTATAGATATAGATATAGATTATATATATGCTTTTATATGTGCATATGTATGTAGTATATGTATTATATAAATTAGAGGAGGTGAGCAACCCTGAAAAAAAAATACAAAAGAGCAAAAATACAAAATAAACATTAATTAAAAAATACTAAAGAAAAAAAAATATTTTTTTAAAGCAAAACGGTATCAAATACGACCTAAGCTATTGTTTGGCAGCACATTTTAAGAATTTTTAGTGAAAAATAAAACAACATTTGATTAGCATTTAACATAAGTAATCTATATGCATCTCAATATACAAATAATACACTCATATATATGTGTGTGTGTGTGTGTGCACATGTATACTTAGGGGTGATCAAATTTTCAATTAGTCACAATTTCTTACCCTCTCTGACTCTATTGAACAACTAGCCAAAAAAATCGGGTAAGAATGCGGATTAACTATTAATTTTCGTATTCTTACCCTTACCTACTCGCATTAATTTATATATATATACCAAAACCTTAATTCTTTAACTATATGGTTTAAACTTAAAATAATTGTTATTGTATTTGTGCAACAATTATGATGGATTGATGTTTATTCTTTCTTATGTTTTATTGTAATTGTTGTTGTGATTATTTTAGATTTTAGTGTTATTGGTTTATCGTGTTATTAAATTGGTGCATGTTATTTAATTGAATTGTTAAAATAATTCAAAAATTAATAACTACAAAAGTATTCACCAGATTTCCTATTCGATTAATTTGGTCGGAAGTTGGGTAAGAATACCACACTTGATTGAGTAGGGTAGGCCAAGAATTTTTTTTTTCACAAAGTAGGGGTGTTTAAATTTTTGATTGACCGTAATTTCTTATCCTACTTGACCCTATCCTACCCTACTGAACAGCTAATCGCAAAAATCGAATAGGAATGCGAAAAAGTTTTTGGTCTTCCGACTAAATCGGATAGAAATGCGGAATACCCATCAATTTTCGCATTCCTACCCTACCCTATCCGCATAAAATATATTTAACTTTTTTATATATTTTTTAGTAATTATAAGAGTATTTATGTGGTTTAATTTATATTATTTATTATTATTATAGATGTTTGAGTTTCTAAAATATAGACTTATTTTTTGTGTAGGTTACATGATTTGTGGTGAACTGATGATCTATTAGAACAGTTATGATTTTAATGTGTTTCAGATGGTTTAAATTTAAAATAATTATTATTGTATTTGTATAACAATTATGATGAATTGATATTCAT